AAGGGAAGAATCACATGAAAGCTAAGGGGAAATAATAAAGTATTTTGATATAAAGACAAGAAAAGTTTAGTACCATATTTGTTTCGGTTGACCTCAAGTCCGCGTCACTGCCGGTTTGAGGTATTGTTTGCTTTGGGTGCGACAACCCTTACGACTTTGTTCTTTATAAAAAGCTTCTCGTTAGGTAGAGGTGTATGGATGTTATATATAAACTACCTTTAGTCTCGATTCTCAAACAATGTGGGACCATTTTTCCCGCATACCTTAGTCTCGATTCTCAAGCAATGTGTGACTATTTTAGCCAACCCAAAATAATTTCCTGTAGTCGAGGCTAACAAGCACGATGTGAACTTCGAGTTCGCACAAACGACACCAATATTCTGGACAACCTCAAGTTCGTGCTAATGCAAATACAAGATATTGTTCGATTTGAGTGTGACAATCCTCACATCTTTGTCCTTTAGAAAAGGTGTATCATTGGGTAGAGGTGTATGAGTGTTGTACATAAACTATCCTTAGTCGCAATTCTCAAGCAATGTGAGTCTATTTTGACCAGCCCATAACAATTATCCAATGTTCTAGTTGACCTCAAGTTTGAACCAAAGCGACTACGAGATATTGTCCACTTTAGGTGTGAGAATCCTCACGACTTTGTCATTTAGAAAAGGCACATCGTTGGGTTGAGGTGTATGAGTATTATACATAAATTATCCTTAACCTCGATTCCAAAGCAATGTGAGACTATTTTAGCAAATCTAAAACAGTTATGCCTCAGTCGAGACTAGAGGAATGACGCAAATTTCGAGTTCCGACAGACGACACCAATGTTTCGGTCGACCTTAAATCTGTGTCACTGCTACTACGATGTATTGTCCATTTTGAATATGACTTCACATTTTTTTTTATAAAAAAGGCGCAACATTAAATTGAAGTGTATGAATGTTGTATATAAACTCTTTTTAAAATTGATTCTCAAACAACGTGGAATTATTTTGACCAATCCAAAACAATATTGAATCAAAAGAAGAAGAAAATAGAATTTACGAACATTTGATAAGTCAATTTTTTAAGTACTTACTCATTTTTAGGGTTGAATTCAAATCATATTTTCACTAAAAAAAAGTGGACAAAAGAAACTAAGAATATATATTAAAATCGTAACATAACAAAAAAAAATCAAACACAATAAAGAAAAATCTCAAAAAAAAAAAATTAAAAATACATTTACGGACATTTAAAAGAAAAAAATAAAATAACATATAATATACTTTATTCGTAAAAGAAAGAAAAAGATAGATTGAGTGGTTGCATTCCATTGTCTTATATTATTTCGAAAGGAAATGATTACCTTTAAAAAATTTGCTTGTAACATGTTACTATAATTTAACATGTATTGTGAACGTAATTTTAGATCCATATATTTAATAGTATTTGATTTTGATTTTTTTAATAAATTTTATCTAGAATAAAAAACATAAAATTTTTTATTTATAAATTTCAGGTTCAAGTCTTAATATTAATTTAGAAGTAAGGTTGAAAATAAGTCAAGTTGAGTCAAACTTGTCTTAACTCGACTCAATTCAATAAAAATTGGTTCAAATCGAATTCGAGTATAATTTTATGTGATTTTTTTTAAGCTCAAGTTCAACTCATTTAAAATTTATAAACAATTCAGTTTATCTCGTTAAGTTCGGTTTAAATTTAACTCGATTGTTTCACAATTTTTTTTATTTATAAATTAGAATAATTTATACTAATATAATCATCAACCATTCTATATAATTTAGATCTAATTATTTTATTTAATATAAAAGTTTAATCTTTAATCATTATAAGATTAAAAATTAAAAAAAACTCATAAGATTATAAGATGTTGATTTATTTGTATTTTATTCTTAGAAATATTTTGCTCACTTAAAAATGAAAAATATCAATTAAAATTATTAATTAAAAAAGTAAAAAAAGTAAAGATTGGGGTAAGTTTTTAAACCTATTTTTAGAATTAATTTGACTCATAAATTTAATGAATCAAAATACATTTAGTTTAAATTCAGTTCATTTAATTAACGAATTTAAAATTTTATTCATATTCTACTTATTTGATTCATAAATCAAGTTCATCAATTTTGTTTTCAAAAAAATTTAAATTATATTCAAGTTAGATCGATTCGTTGTCAACTCTATTTAGAAGGATACAAATATTTTCATAAAATAATAATCATAAAATAATTATAATTAGTTAAGAATTAAATTTTTTTTAAATAATTAACATAGAAAAGTATAATTGAATTCCATCATTGTCATTTACATATTTTTAGATATTTTAAAATGATTTGATAGAATAGTTCAATATATTTTACCTTCCAATCAATTATTTTGATTTGATTTGTGAACATTTAAATTAAGATAAGAAGAAATTTAGAGCACCTCCAATGGTGCAACCCATTTTTGGGTTCTTTGTGGGACTCACTCTTTTAAAGCAACTCATTCAATTTTCACTCCAATGATGCAACTTCAAAGAACCCATATTGGGTTCCACCACTTTATTTAAAATATATTATTTATATTAAATTTATTTTATTTAAAATTATAATTTAAATATTTAAATTTTAATTAATATAAATACAAATTAAACATAAAATTAAAATTAAACATAAAATTGAAAATAATAATTAAAATAAAATTTAAATACATGTCACATAATTAAAAACAATAAAAATAAATAACATCACATAATTAAAAACAATAAAAATAAATAACATCACATAAACAAATGTAATTTGAAATAAAAAGATGAAAATTTGGCCTAAACAAATGTAATTTGAAATAAAAAGATGAAAATTTGAAATAAAATGATAATGAGAAGAAATTGTTGGAAAAAAATTAAATATTTATGAATAAAATGATGAAATTATGAGAGAGAAATTTGAAATTAAAGAGCAAATAAAAAGGAGAGAAAATAGGAATAAAAAGGAGAGAAAATAGGAATGATATAAATTTTTTCCAACAAACCTATATTTATAATAAATAAAAAAGTTAAAAAAATAAAATAAAGCTAAATGATTATTTTAATAATAAACCAAATGAAGAACCGTTGCTTATGTTTGTAACGTTCTACAGCTGGAATAACATTTTGTTGACATTTTCAATGCCAAACTGGCAAACCAATTTGAAAAACCACCGTTGGAGTTGGTCTTATACATTTTAAAATGAAAAGCACTTTAGCCGCATAAAAAGGGGACAAATCTTTATTCACACATGTTTTCTTTGTGGTGACAATTTTTCTATTCATCATCATGTATCTTCAATCCATCTTAACTATTTAAGTATTTATTAAATAAGCAAAATTTTAATTATTTTCAATACATTTTAACTTATGGATAACTTTATCCAAATTTTTATGGCAAGTAATTAAAAAAATTTGTTTAAAAATTAAATTATCTTGATTTACATTATAATTTTCCTTATTGGTCCACGCAAAGTGATGCAAACCTTCCAACGGTGGTTAAAGGAAACAAAAAGCATGTGGTTGTTATCACACAAAACGAAATGACCAAAAGCCCCTCAAGAATCTTTTTTATCCTTATCCATTTTACTATGACCAAGGGTTGGTAGTGGATAATATAGACATATTACAATTATTACACGTTTCTACAAAATCCACAAAATCGAATATTCAAAAAAGCACTTTTTTTTACAGACAACAACAACTTGCAAGTTGCAACACGCCCACAGAAGTGAAAAAAAGATTGCACCTTTCGCTGTTTCTTATGGTGAATGCTTGTTTGGACGCAAACCCATCTTTTATAATAGTGATTTTCTTCGGTTTCTCCGCCGGTTCATCTAGTTGGCCGCACATGTAAGTTTTTTTTCAACGAAGAGATGTAATCAAGAAGTCTTAAGTTTTTGTTGTTGTTTTGAATTTTGATTGTTTCTTGATTTGGATTCAGATCTCAATTGGGTTATTGTTTTTGAAGTTGTTTTGTTGAATGCAGTAGTCACTGTAGGAAAAAGTTAATGCATTTTCTTAGGTTGGGATTCTGGTTTTTCTTTGTAACCGACACTGGCTTGAATTTCATCACTCATCCTAAATGCGGGTTCTTGATTGGTCTATAGGTTTTTCTTTATATCTTAGATCTGGAAGAAGGTTGGTTGAATTAGTTAATGAAATTTGAGTGTTAGGTGAGTAGTTTATGAGGTTTTGGATTATTAGATTAGATAAGTAGGGGCCTCAATGTTGGTTTGTTGCCTCAAAAATTTCCTGTCAAATCTTATCTCTTGCAACAGATCATTCGGTTACTGATACAATTTAATTTCAATTTCAAATCATAGTTGGTAGAGTTCAAGTTTGAGTAGTTAAGTTTCACATTGATTTTGAGTTAAATGTTGGATGTATATGAGAGGTAATGCATATATCTAATGTCTAAATATGTTGAGTGAAGATATTGTGTCTCCCTCTTTTGTGGTCTTGGTCCGTTGTTGTCCCAACACTCTTTTCGATTCCCCAACAAGTGATATCAGAGTCTTGGTTCGACTTGATGGGGACGGGAGATGGATCCTGGTGTTGGAAGAGATTGGATAAAATGTCGGATATATAAGAGAGGTGACTCATTTATCTAATGTCTTAAGGGTGGAGATGTGATGTCTCCCTCTCTCAGTCTCTTGTGTTCTTAGAGCATTGGTCCATTGTTACCCTCGGAGTGCTTCCAGACTCCCTAAACAATCTCCTAGTTACATTTGGATTCTCTTATATTTTACAATTATTAAGCGTCTATATATCTCTTGGTAATATCATTTTGTACAAGCATATTATATATCATGAAAATAAACATAAGTTTCATATTTTCTCATTATGCAGCTGCAACGATTGACAAGCATTGATTCTTTCCAACTCCTGTGACGTTCAATTGGCAATAACTTTAACAAAGCTTGGAGAGGTACTTCTAATCTTTAGAAGGATATAATTATAAGTATTCATCCTAGAATTATTGTTATACGCGATGGAGATTTGTGCTGAAACTACGCATTCCAATGGGAAACAAACTTTGAAGCATTCTAAATCTGCAATTGAAGTAAAAAGATCAAGCGAAAACACCTATAGATATTTTCATTCCAATAATGTGAGGCAAAATTTAAAGCAAACTTCAACTTTTGTCAATCATGGTGAGCTTTCATGAGCATTGTTAATCACTCTTTATCTTGGTTTTTTGTCTCTTGTTCGATTTTAAACGTTTTTATTCTGTTGTTTATAACCTAACATTGTATATATAATGCAGCTGCAAATGCATGGCATGAGAATAGAAAAAAATGGGTCGGCGATAAGTCTCAGAATTCACCAAGAGCACCTAAGGATCCAATTATTAGGTATGTATATGTCAACCAATCTCATGTTCTTTTCATTTGCAGAAGGTTCAATCATTGGTAACAATTCCGATTTATTTTATTTCAGCTGGTCGACATCATATGAAGATCTGCTTTCTACTAGCGAACCATTTGCGGAGCGCATACCATTGCCTGTAAGATTTCAATAACCTTGTCTAGAAGAATACATGTAATGCATTAAAATGTATATGTGTTCATACATTTTACTCATGGGTGCTATCGTGTTGCTAAAACTATGTCTAGCTATAGCGCCAGTATAGCTGCAATTCGGCAACACTAAGCTTTGCGCATATATCTTCCATGTACTGATTCGAATTTCGATGGATTTTGTGGCTGATGCAGGAGATGGTAGACTTCTTAGTTGATATTTGGCTTGATGAAGAAGGCTCCTTCGACTAAACAGTAACTGAAACAAGAATCAAGAACTGTGTAAAGCCTTTAACCTCGCAATGACCTTAATTAACCTCTTAGCACAGCATGATTTGATGGAGTAATATTCTTTGTGGATTCCCGATTTTCTTTCTGTGCCTCGATCGCTTAGGAGACTCTGCCCGAGTCTGGTTTCATAGAGGCTTTTAGTTTGTTCCTTTGGGCCTTTGGCACCTTTATTCATAGAAATAATGAGTTATTATTTTTCTACAATTTATCTAGTAGTAAGTTTTATTGTTAGAAAACATATTTGTATTTATTCAAGTTCATATTATCATATACATGTATTAAATACATGTTTTAATTCAATACTAACACATTTATAATATTGAACATGTGCATGAGTAAAGTTTGAATGTGTGTTCTTATTCATTCTCTACTGGTTGTGCAGAATTGAGATGTATATATATTTCTCTTTGATTCATAATTTCATTGGTCACTTTGGTCTATGGTGTTAGATTTGAACATCATTAGCTTAATAATGAAATAGTTGAAAATGTTAAAAGATTTCTATCTAGCAATTAAACACGTCAAAGGTCAAATGTTGTTTGCAATGTAGCCAACTTGAACATGCCCCTATGCTCACCATTAGCAGCTTAAGGACTTTAAAAATGCTGATGTAATGTTTGAATCTTATGTCCATATTTATGAATCTCTATATGTTAAGTTCATCTTTAAAATTCTTTGTTATGTGATGAGCACCATGAGTGTTTGATGACATGGCCTTAAAATAAAATTTTTGTTTATTACATCCGGTATTATTTATAAAAGAAAATTTACATTTTAAATTTATTGAATAATCAATGTTTTAGATGTATAATAAATTTTTTATTCAAATAACTCACGTTTTTTAAAAAAATCTCAGTTTTTAAAAAATTTCTCAAAGTACTCCAGTTAGAGTTGCAGAATACATGTGGACGCCATACCAATTGGCGACCTTTTGTAATGGCTTTAAGGGAGTCACCAATTGGATTTGAGACACCTCATGCAGTCTCTAATTCAATTGCCGACTTGATTATATACACATAAGAGAGTCGTCAATTCATCTGGAGACTCCTTAGAAACGTGATTTTTTCTTCTATAAATAGAGGTGTTCTGATCATTTAGTTCCACAGCTCATCTGATATCTTTGTTCCACTGATAACATGTATCGTCTTCGGTGGGGAAAAGTCATCTTTTCGAGAGAAGCCTTCGATGGACTTTTTGGAACATACAAAGTTTCAATCAACTTAAGAGGGAGCTGAATCGGTGGTTAGAAGGAGACATTGGTGAAGGAGAAAAAATTCGAAGTATCGAGAGACTTGATCGACTACATGGATGGGTTCGTGTTAAGACTGACAAGGATACGAAGGAAGTCATGTTTGGACTGAATGAAATTAGTTTGATTGTTGTTATTAGTTAGGAATGTTTTATATTTCTTTTCCGTTAGCTGTTTTATGTGTGGTATGTGTTGTGTGTTATTAGTTCGCAGTTTGTATTGTTTGTTGTTAACATTGTTGTAACAAAGACTCGTTAATATGTCATAATATTAGGTTACAACAACTGAAACGATAAGCTAAATCATGATGCAGATGTTCATCCCACATTGAGTCAATTTTTTCGGTTGTGTTCGGGCCGACGACATATACTGCATAATCTTATCATTTTATCAGCTGTATCCATTTCGGTTCTTTTACGCTTGCTGTTTGGGCGTCCCTTTTTCTTTCTTCGCATCTCATCGTTGTGCCAAACTATGTCACCTTGGTATAAAGGCCAATATTCCTCCATTGGTAGCACTGCGAAGTCTACGTTGTAGACATTCATAACATTAATCACCTTGTAAACATCATATAGATAGCCATAAGCATCCTGACGAGCATGTGCGCATGTTGCAATGACATGTGAGTAAGGTACACAGAAGGTCTGGTACTTGCCATAGTCACATCAACATCTGTTTAGTCTGACAACATAGGATAAATTGGGTCTCCCCTTATTATGGCCCATTGTTTATTGTACACTGAATGTTTGTCTATGACAGTCAAATACTATAACTGCATGTGTGATGACTCTGATAGTATTGCATTTCATTAATTTCATTATGCTTTCACTGAATACTTGATCTGACGTTAACACTACACTCCATCTTTCACCTCTTGTTGCGAAAAGTAATGTCAACCTATAATAGGTTGATCTCACCAAAGCGGTGATTGGTAGGTTTCTAATTCCTTTAAATACCCCGTTCATGGACTCCGCAAGGTTTGTCATCATGTGGCCCCAACAAAATTCACCACCAAAAGCCCTTGCCCACTTTTCCAATGGAATGTTATCCAACCAGATTCCTGCATCTACATTTGACATCCTAAATTCGTTAAGGTAGTATTGAAATGTTGGTTGAGTTAGAGCATACCCGAAATTCACAAATTTTTTGCGAAGGTTTTTGTCTTTGATTGCACGCATGAAGTTTTATGCAATATGTCTAATGCAATATACATGGGTAGAAGGAGGATTATGTCAACCGTTATCATGGTTATTGTAAGCACTCTTTATAGCAACATGTCTATCTGAAATTAAACAGAGATTGACTTGTGGAACGACATGTGTTCTGAGATTCTTAAGGAAGAAACTCCAAGCAGAAGCGGTCTCACCCTTAACCAGAGCAAAGGCTATGGGAAAGACATTATTGTTATTGTTTTGTGCAACAGCCATAAGCAAGGTGCCCTTGTATTTTTCGTAGAGCCATGTTCCATCAATTTGAATAACTGGTTTGCAGAATGAAAAACCTCTTATGCATGGTTGAAATGACTAAAAGAGACAGTGAAAGATGACATTTCCATCAACAATAGTTCCATCTGGCCTACATGTCGACACTGCCTGCATGATTCCAACGGTTCCTGGTGTGTATGTCCTTAGCGCTACCAAAAATCGCAGTAAATCCTTGTATGAATCCTCCCAGTTGCCAAATACTTGTTCAACAGCCTTTGTCCTTGCAATTCACGCCTTCTTGTACGAGGGAGTATAATTATACCGCATCACAATATGAGAGATTATTATACTCACCTTGACTGAAGGATCCTTGTTAACAAGTGGAAAAATGTCTTGACATATCAATTATGCGCTTAGCTTTTGGTGATCTTGAACAATATTTGTAGCAATGCAATTATGACGTGGCTCTATGAAATCTATCTTCCAAGAGTTGTTTCTCTTTCTGTAAGACGCAACAAGCTGAAACTTGCAAAGTGGATTACGACAAATAATGACATACCTTCTCGAATCAATTTGGTGTACATTGAAATCAACATAGTTATCCATGTGATATTTTTTAATGGCTCATACACAATACTCCTTGGTACGAAACTGGTCTCCCACTTTTAGTTCATTCTCTGACTGCATATACGGGTTGTGAAACATATTTGCGGATCTCTCATCGTCTTGCAAGTCCAAGTCTGTCATATGCTGAGGAAGACAGTATACATGACCTAGAGGTATTGGCACTTGTTCGTCATCTTCAACGTTGTTGTTCAACAGTTGATCGACCAACGTCTCGCTTTCTTCTTCTTCTTCACCAACGATGTTGACCTCTGGTTCGATTCCACCTGAGTATTCTAATTCAGTTTCATCTGTTATAATTTTTAATGTCTTTGTTAATTTTTTTATTTGACAATTATGTAGGAAGTTTCTATGTTTCGGTGCGTTCCCATGAATATGCTGCACCCGACGAATTAATTCAATCATATATTGAGCTTGTCGGTTTCAGACATGTAAGCAAAATCTTGTCTTACTCGATTGATGCAAAGTTTATACTACATTTGCAAGAGAAATGGCGCCTAGAGACACACACACCTTCTTTTCTCCAACCGATGAATGTACTGTGACCTTAGAGGATGTGTACATGTTACTCGGTTTACGCATTGATGGTAAGACGGTCAATGGAACAACAAACCTTGATGATTCAATTTGTGAGGAACTTTTGGGTGCCGACTTGCTAGATGAGAACTCAAGAGGCTAAGGTATCTTACTTTCGCGCCTAAAATCATGGTACGCTGATTTTATATTAGATGAATATTTTACAGAAGAAATGAAAATAATAAAAACCAAGTGTTATTTTATGCTTTTAATTGGTTTATTTTTATTTTTCGAAGGCACTGGTTCTTCTATGCACATTATGTATTTACCTTTATTGAGAGACCTAACTAAAATAAGAGAGTATAGTTAGGGTTCCGTTTGTCTGTCTTATTTGTATAACTCTTTGTAAGTGCACAAAAAATATCTACTTTTTCTGGATGCGTCGTTTTGCTCCAAGCATGGGGTTGATCTAGATTGCCATCCTTAGCGCCCGTCAACCACAACAAATTTTCCTCCCCGTATGCACAAAAGTAAGTTACTAACTTAATCTTAGCTTTTTTCACCTTACTAATTATTGTGTCTAACTAATTGAATTTGAACTTTTTTGTGGTTTAGATGGTCGGCTAAGGGTATGACTTCCAATAGATGCCCTAGACATTGTATCATTCAATACCGTAATCTGTTGAATCACTTAACACCTGCAGATGTAAGGCTTCTAAACAAATCAATTTATATTTTATATCAACTATTATATAATCTAATATTTTTCTCTTCTTTAGTTTATATGGCGTCCATATCTAAACACGGAACAACTACATGAAGTCAGAGAGGAAGATGCTGCTGTTTGGACTGCATGCGTCTCGATCATCATATTCACAACTATGGAGATGCACAACAATTACTGTGTCAAACTACAATTTGGAATGCATCAAAACATCTCAGATCCTCCTGTTGACATCAGTAAATGACATCTAAAAAGAGTTAATGATCAATGGGATTTTCCCGACTAGAAGGATTTTGCAAAATCTAAGCGTTGTAAATGGATGAACAACATCACCATGTCTTATGTAACCCGGTGATGGCAACCCCGTCTATACCAACTATTAATTATATGAATTGGTACAAATCGATTGCAATTGGGTTTATCT